TTGATGATATTAAATCAATTGAAACAAAAGGTACGAAATCCTATTATTACCTAACCACACGATAAAAGTTGTAAGGTCGTTATCTTGAAGTTCTTTCAATATGGTTCTAAAAATCACATGAAATCCGAGAAATATTTTTATGAGATTTTCTTAATTTTATTTTAACAGGTAAATGGTGGCTTGTTGGTTCATCATGGACTGCTAATATGGTTGATGATCCATCAACTTCAACAATTACGCAACGCGTCGAGAAAAATAAGTCAGCAACTGAAGCTTTATTAAAGTTGGCTAAAGAACAAAAAATGAATACAGATATTAGAAGAAGTATTTTTGTGGTCATAATGAGTAGTGAGGTAGATATTGAATTTATTGTTTGAATTTTTTTTATCTAATAAGAAAGGTTAATGATAGTTTATTACCTTGTAGGATTATGTTGACGCGTTTGAAAGGCTATTGAAATTAAGTCTTAAAGAAGTTCAAGAGCGTGAAATTCCTCGTGTGCTATTACTTTGTTGCGGAAATGTAATTTATAACTGAATTCAATAGTAACACCTTATTTGTTTAGCATATTAAAAAATCAATCTAACGCATAATTTCTTTTATTTACTTTTATCAGGAAAAAACGTATAATCCGTATTACGCATTAATATCACAAAAACTTTGTGAACACGATCATAGTTATAAAATTACTTTTCAATATTGCTTATGGGATTTCTTAAGAGAATGTGGAGAAAGTGATATCGGTGGTATGGAGCTTGTTAAAAACACACCATCAACAACTATGGAAGACATCCCACTAAGAAGAATTGTGAACCTGAGTAAACTTTATGCATTATTATTAACTGGAGGTCAATTATCTATAATAATTCTAAAGGTAGCTTTTCTTGTTTCATTTTCATTTTTATTTTATTTTTTTACTCTCGTTAAAATCGATACTAACCATGACTTTGGGAATATTCTCGGAATTGAACATTATCAACAAAGACCGTATCATTTCCTAAACTTCAACAAAAATCACGGTTATTTTTTCAGTTATTATTTTCTAACATAATTTTATTATCTCATGAAACCCAATTTTCAAGAAAATCAAATGATCAAATCAAAATTCTTTTTAATATATTTAGTAAATCTTTAATAAATCCCACATTAGCAAATGGGATCCTGTTTTTTTTATATAATTTTGTTAGAAAATGTGATATACAAAAAGAACAAAAAGATTTAATTAAATCGGGTTGTAAGATTATTAAAGAAATTATTCAAGATGGATTTAGTAAAAATAATGAATTATTTTAAGAATTAGTATTTGTATATTTTATATAATGAAAACTCGGAACGTTTCATAGACCGAAGATTAATTAAAAAAAAAAAAATAGAAAAAAGAAATATTTTGTTCCGTTAATTATCATAATGAAATAAAATGTATCTGAACATTGAAGTCAAAAATGGATAATAACAAGAAGTTTTTACTATTTATTTATTATACTCGATAGCTTTATAATAATACGAAGAATTAGAATTTAATTGGTTAGATTTGTTACAATGACTATCGGAACCGCACGCTACTTTAATTTACACAACACGATCGAATTTGTTGTTACCTGGGTTCATCATTACTTCAAGAAAAAAAAATCTTCGTTTCTTTAGAATATCATTCATGTCTATCCACCATGTAATGTAGATATAAAGACAATATCATCACCATCTTTAATTTCATATTCTAATTCACCTTCTAATTCCCAATCCGTTTCATTTATTAATACTAATATGCCAGGTCGACTTTTATCATTTTTTTTTTTTAAAAAAAAAAAAAATAAATAACAAAAAAAAATTAATTCAAGTTTGAAAGTATTTGAGGATCATGCAAAAAAAAATTTAACTTACACGGTGTCTCCACTCATAAATAATTCTGGACGTTCTTTTAACAAATTTTCTCTTATCCATAATATCTTATTTTTTTTTGTCACAACATATATAATATACATATACATTTAATTTATTTATTTATTTATTTATATATTTATTGAACATACGCATACGAAATTTTGATCAAAATAGGGAAATTTTAATTTACAAACCAAATCTTTCATGGTAGTTGCATTTGGTGGATTGATCGTTGATGATATTTCTATGTGCTTTTGTTTAGTGTTATTAAACAATAATTCCATTCCACCACTTTTGATTTTTTTTTTACGACAAAAAAATAAGACTTTAAAAAAAAATTCCAATGAAAATTTTTAATTAAAAAAATTACTTTTACCTAAATGATAATTTCACTTTAATTAAAGACATCTTTTATTAAAAAAAAAAAAAAAAAAACGAAACCTCCCTTTCTTTTTTGGATGGTTAGGGATGAAAAAGGTAAATAAATGATTTGCTTTTTTTTTTTTAATGATTTTCAGTACATAATTGTTTGAGATTTACATTAATTATCATCATTGAAAAAAAAAAAAAGTCGGAATTAATTTTTCAAATTTTTTAAAACCAAAATATTTTCATTTCCTTGTAAAAAGTTTAATATAAATAGAGATTTATTAAATTAATTACCATAATTAATGATTAAGGAGTTTTAAATCTGGAAAAAGTTGTAACGAGGTTTCTCTAACATTTATACAACATAATCTCTCTCATACAAGGAAATTGATTCACTGCATTTAGGTTGTGTGCACGCGTACAAAAAAATTAAAATTCAAAAAAAATATATTAAAAATAACCATGTCGGTAATAAAAGAAAACGGTTTTATTGGTGATCGATCTTTATATAAACTTTCACTTTGCTTTTTTAAAAAACGAGCCATCGATTTTTTCGAACAATTAAAATTTTATCAACTTTCAACTTTCTTTTTTGTCAGTAAAAAAAATTACCACCCACCCTTTCCTTCCTTCCTTCCTTCCTTCCTTTGGATAAATATCTCCTACCATTTATTTTTTTTAACTCACTTTCATTTTAACCTTTTTTACCCGACTTTTTTTTTTCTTTTCTTTTCACTCAAAAAAATAAAAATAAATAAATACATCGACCTTCTTCCTTTTTTTCTTTATTAAAACCAAAGAATGCTTGAAGTTAACGATTACCGAGTTAACGATTACCGAGTTTCTAGGATTGTAATCCTTTGTAAGGATTGCGGACAAGACGTTGGTCTATACCCTGCCCGTCATAAGTGTGGAATACCTTCCTCGGAAGCACATCCTTTACCATCAATACCGAATCAATATCTTTCAACTAAATCCAGCACGCAGTCTAATAATGATACTCATTCCGATGGTATCTGGAATAAACTTCGATCTGTTCGTAGTTGGAAGGACACTGAAAGTAAACGGGATGAACATTTTGAAGTGGATAATTCTCAAAGTTCAAAAATATGGAAAACGTTGTTAAACGTAACTTCATATACTAACGATGATGGTGATTCTGATAACGGTAAGTACATAAAAAAAAAAAAAAAAATTTCTTTTTACAAGATAAAATTAATAAATAAATCTGTTTTGTTATTAGAATCGGAAAAAGATGGATGGGAAGGAGAAACTCATATCTCACGAATATTAAGAGAATATTATGAAGAGAAAGGTGAATACCTTCCTGATTGGTTACATGATTCAAATTCAAATTCAGATAATAAAAATTCCACACAAGTTTCATCAAAAGAAAATAATTATAGTCCACCAATGATTACAAATTTAAATGATAATAAAAACAAGAACTCTAATAGACTACAGACAATAGACAATGATATTAATAAAAACCGTCAACCAAAAAATTATAATCGAGACTTATCAACTTCTCCTTCTTCAATGAATTTTCATTCATCGCACATGAATAAAAGAAATAGAGAAAGGAGTAGGGATTATATTATGGATAAAAATAAGGACAGAAGTATTCATCCCCCCAGTTCATATCCTGATCAACATCATCATAATCATTTTAATCAACCAACACCTTCCCTATCAAAAAATATGGATTCAGGAAGGTATGATGATAGAAACATGAAACAACATATTAATAATACTTTGCCTTCGAAAGGATGGCAACCTTCTCCCAATGCACGATCATCTGATGATAAAGGAAGGTTGATGACTAAAAAATCCCATAATCAATTACGAACGGGATCAGATCGCCAGTTACATAATGATGTTCCTCATATCCCTACAAATAAGTCTAAAGTTATGAATTCAAATTTCTTTCCTTCTAATCCACAACAACAGCACCAACCATTTCCTCATAATGGGAAAGGTTTGAGTTATGGCGGTAATAAATATGAAGGTGATTTTCGTGGTAGGCAAGGTGTTCAACTTTCGGGTTCACGTGGTCCCAATAGAAATAGGTTAGGTTAAGAGACTTTTGCTCAATCTATCTTTTTTAACTTAAAACATCAATATGACCTTTATTTATATAAAAAGGATACACAATAATTCTCTATTTAATTTATTCTGTACAAAATTTGGTTAAAAAAACTTTTTAATTAAATTTAACTGATTCATTACAGCCAATAGTTTCACACTTGTGTCACGTGTTGAAATATTGGTTTGTATATAAATATAAAGAATTTTTTTTTTTTTGTCTGCCTTTCGTAAAGAAAAATGTCTACTACAACAGCTGATATTCCTAATATTACAAATTCCGTTACAAGTTTAACAACTAAATCTACAGCTACAGACACAACCACGAGACCAGATATTCGCCCTTGTTGTGCATGTCCTGAAACTAAGAGAAATCGAGATCAATGTATTTTTGAAACGGGAGATGAAGAAAAATGTAAAGATTTGATTGAGGCTCATAAAGCTTGCATGCGTAGCTTTGGGTTTAATGTGTAATATGAAATGTAAAGATAATTAGAAATTAAAAAAAATTATAATGTTTCTCATGAAAACCGTTTAATGAGATGTTTTTACTTCCAAAATAAGGTAATTTTTTTTTACAAAAATTAAAAAATTAAAATTAAAATTATTTTAAACCTTTTACACCTTCCTCACTAAAATCTTGTCTCCATAAAATTTCATTAATGTAATACATATTCTCTACATGACAGTTAACTTTACAGCTATATACAAGCAATGTTCCCCAATCAAGTGAACCGCGTTGCAAATGATCAATTTCGAGATAATTAAGTAGTGTAGACAAGATCTTTAAAAAATATAATAAGTGTGTATATTTAAATTGATTGTTTTTTTTTAAAAAAATATATATATATATATATATTAAAGTTACCTGAAATTCAAAAGTTCTTTCTTGTCCACAATATGGACATGAAGGAATATCTTTTACAGTTGGTTTACCGATATTGCTAACCCATAAAGGTTCCGCATTTTTTTCACATCCATATTCAAGTCGATTATATCTTAAAATCTGATCGGGATATTGTTCAATTCTCTTTTGAAATTTTAAAAATGATTTATCGACATCCACTTCAGTATTCTCATAAACTTCATCTCCAACAGGTACAAGTGCCTTAGAATTAGCTTTATTTAAGGAATTCTCATCATCATCATCACCATCTCTTTGATCTTCTTCTGGATTCCCTTCTTGTTCTGTAACTACTTCAAATTCCGGAAATAAAACCAATTTTCTACAATGATTATCATGTTCCGCAATAGTTTGTAAAGAAGCTGGTGGTTTTGATGTAGTATTGCAATGAATTTTATGTTGTCCCAAGGTCCAATGATGTACTTGATGTTCTTTTGAACAATAATTAACTGTATTGCATTTTCCGCACATTTTCGATCCAAGTAACCCGCAAACCGTGCATTGTTTGGCTAAACATTTTTATGAACCGTTAACATTTAATTTTCTTTACGAATTTTTTTAAGTTAAATTAATAAAATGTTGAGGAATACCGGGTAAAAACTTTTTATCGGATTCATTTTCTTGCCAATAGGGATTATTTTTAGGTAATTGACTTCGAAATACTTTAAAGCTAAAATAAAAAGAAATATGTAAATATGAATGTATTATATATACCAAAGTTATTTAAAAAGGATTACAATAATGAAATATGTTAGTAACCTTTTCTCCCAAGAAATTTCGTGACATGACCCATCCTTGCAGCAAAATACGTAAATTGTACGATGAAATGCTTCGGGAGGATAGTCTTCAGGAGTGTATAGCTAAAAAGTTTATGATAATCATCAAAAATAAAAATAAAAATAATAAAGGCTACTAAATTTTATCTTGGATAATAAATATCATCTTATACTTGAACCAAAAGTATCATCGGTTTACGACAAACTTCACAACGAACTTGGTCCGCTGATAGGATACACTCTGGATTTAACCATTCCTATATCATATATATATATATCTCATTAATACATGATATTTGAAAACTTTAACGAATCATTTGATAAAGTATTTGAATTACCGGTTTTCCTCCAATTTTATTTGGAAAATTTTTAGCTAAAAGAGGACTTTCTGGTGGTTCGGCGAAGCCAAGTTCTACGACCGCAGTCGAAGAGGTCATGCCTTTATTATGTTGATTATATATTTATTTTATATATATATAATATATATATCTTTTTTAACCATTAAATAAAATATTCATCTTTGGATAAAAAAAAAAAAAATAAAAAATAAAAAATTTAGATTGTACCCATGTTTGACAAATTACACTAAAACAAGAATGTCAACCCGTTATGTGACCCGGATATTATATATACATAAATTAAATATATAAATGCTATTTTATTTTTTTTTTATTTTTTTTTATTTTAAGGTTTGAGAAATGACAAATAACGAAAATCAAGAGTTACAACAAGAGGAGTTTTTAGCATTATCTTCAATATTTGGGGAAGCTTCCTTTCAAGCAGATACTCATCTTTCCGAATCATATCCTTCTTATATCTTTAAATTTTCCCTAGAGAATAGTATTAATGATGTTGAGACAACTGCTATAATGGACAATAAATCATCTAAAGATTTAACTTTAAGATTTCATTTTCCACCAAATTATCCTTCTTCTCAACCTCCCATTTATGAAATACTAAGTTTATATTGTGGTACATTAAAAATTGATCAAAATATAGAGGATGAAATAGAAAAAAATTTCAATCAATTATTTGTTCCAGGTGAAGTAGTTATATTTTCTTGGATTGAATGGCTTCAAGATTACATGAAAACAAAATTTGATAATGAAGATGGATTAATAAATATGAGGGAAGAAAACCATTTAACTGAAAAAGAACCTATCATTTCAAGCGTGATAAATACCGTAGAAAAGTTTAATAATGATGATGATATTATTAACGAGTGTCCGAAAATCATACATGGAGAACCATTAGAACATAAAAAATCATTTTTTATTGCTCATTTAGCTTCTGTATCAAATATACGACAAGTACAACTTGTGAGATCTAATTTATTGTTAGATAGAAAGATTGCTAAAGCTACACATAATATAATGGCTTATCGAATTGTTCAAGAAAATGGTTTAATAATACAAGGTATCTCTTTAAGTATTTGTATTCTTTATCTTGTTTATTTTTCAATGTTTTCATAACTATCTTGTTTTTACCAAGATAACGATGATGATGGTGAAACGGCTGCCGGAAGTAGACTATTACATTTATTACAAATTATTGATGCGAAAAATGTTGTCGTAATCGTTTCAAGGTGGTTTGGTGGAATTTTGTTAGGTCCAGAAAGATTTAAAGATATACTAAATTGCTCTCGGGATCTTTTAGAAAAATGTGGTTATATTACAAGAAATAATAATAATAACAATGAACAAAAATCTTCAGGAAAATCAAAAATTAAAAAGAAAAAATAATTCGATTTAAGATTTAAATTTATTTTGTTTAATTAATAAAAATTTAATGCTCGTTCAAAAAAATTTGCACACATTTTCAATCAATTGTCAATATAAAAAAAAAAAAAAAAAAAAAAAAATTAAAGGCACAATCATCGAAGATAATAATATATCCTTACCTCATTGAAATATTACCGCCTATATAATTCTTCGAGATAAATAAATCCCAAAATGGAGTTATTATTTTTAAATAATAATCAATTTCATAATGCATTTGTGTTTTAAATAATTGATTCAAATTTTTAAATCTGATAAATATTACATTAAGCTATTGCATAAAATAATGTGGGTCAAAATCTAAATGTACTTGCCCAAGTTAACTTGAAAATGTGGTAATAAGCCTTAATCCATAATAAGAGCTTTAATAGAAATGCACTGTAAACAATTCGGATGCTGGAAAGTGCCGAGCTTAGCAAATTTACAAAAAAGAAATTTGTCAACTGGGCAACCCAGAGAATTAAAGGATAAGGATATAAATAGAATGGAAACCTTCTACCACCTTTATTAAAAACAGTGAATAAAATCTTCGAGAATTTTGCGTACATATCGTCTATAGAAAGATATAATAATAAAACAGAAAAGGGATAAAAGAAATAGTGCCAATGTCGAACTTTCGCTAAAACAATAAAAATTTTCCGTTTATACAACCGAATACTTGCCGTAACCACCCAATGAAGTACTTCCGGGATTACGAGCTTCGGCTTCAATCGCACTTAACGTGGTTTCTGTTAAAATGCGCTTTATTTCGTTCTTGGCCTTTTCGACAACATATTCATTTTCACCCTCAACGAATAAATATAATTTTCTTTCGCCAGAACCAGGTGCTGGTTGACGGCCAGGAGCGAAATATGTACCACGAGTAGTGATAGCCGCTCCTGTAAGTTCTGTAATTTGCGAGATTTGTTCCTATTATATTATAATATTAATTAATTAATATTATAATTTGAGATTATTATGCTGATGATTATAACAGTGACCTACCTTATTCGTAACTTTCCATCTCGCCTTTTGTGGATAATCATTAATTTCAATTTCGACAGAATATTCTGCAGCATTTTCGGCTTTGTCGGCTTCAGGTGCTGTGCCTTGTACGGAGTTTTCTTTAAAGCGAGCATTGATATCTGCAATGATATCTTTCGCTCTTTGAACACCACTTGCACCGACATTCTTTGCGTTTACACGGGCTGCAGCCTCTTGAGCAGCTTTAAGTGCTAGAATTGATGAATTAATAAAAAAAAAAATAGTTGACACGTCGTCAATTATGTGAATAATTATTGGGCAAAAATATTTACCAGCAATTGCTGCAGGATTTGCATCTGCAGAATGACTAATAGCTGGAGGTGGAATAGTAATTGCATTCTTAGATGTTATAGTAGAAATACCAGGAGCTGTTAAAATTTCCTCTTTCTTAATTTGTGGAATAGAATGTTCCTCTTCCTCCGCTTCCTCTTCGGAAGTTTCATCATCAGAAACGTCATATGTCTAAAAAAAATAACAGATTTATTAATAAAAAAAAAATTTATGATTATGAATGTAGATCTTATTTTAATGATAAATTTACCTTTCTTTGAGCTTTTTTAACAAGATCTCGTGCCTCATCCAATCTTTCAAGACCTTTACCACCAAATCCTGAACCAGAATATGTGGCATTTCCTGCCTTGACCTTTTCTTGGAATCCTAAAAAAAAAAAAATACAAATTTAAATGAATTTGATATAGTTCTATTAATCAAAATATTATTCATTAATACGACTTAATTTCTTACCGTCAGCAAGCGCTTGTAATTCCGGGCTAACATGGCCACCACTTAATTTCAACGCTTTAACTATGTCCATCGCATACCGATCTTGTTCTGGGGTAATAAAAGTATATGCTGTACCTTTATTACCGGCTCTTCCAGTTCTTCCAACACGATGAACATAATCTTCCATATGATTTGGACATTCGTAATTAATGACCAATTTCAACTGCTTCACGTCAAGACCTCTAGCAGCTACAGAAGTAGCTATCAACAGCTGGCAAACCCCAGATTTAAAATCTGCTATTGTACTATCACGGTCCAATTGATCCTATAAATATAGAATATGAAATTATAAAAAAAAAATATATAATTTTATATAATTTTCTGCAACAAATTACCTTGCCACCATGGAGAGACATGCAGGCGTAGCCTTTGCGTATTAAATCACGCAATAAATTATCTGCTGCTTCCTGGCGGTCAACGAAAATTAGAGTACGAGCATCAGGATCGTCATTATATTGCTGACCCAATATTTCAAGTAAGCGAACAAATTTTGTATTATCTTCCCGAACTTCAACTATTTGATTAACGTCTTGTGCTACCACACTACGTCCACCTACGGTAATTTCAAGTGGTCTTTTGAGAACCTTTCGTGCAAGTGACTCCATCTATACATAGAAACATCATAATAATTAATTTAAATACTTTATAATAGAATACCAAATATATAAATATAGTTAGTTTACTTACCTGGCGTGGAAAAGTAGCAGAAAATAAAACCGTCTGGCGGTCAGGTCTAACATTGTTTACGATTTTCATGACCTAAATATAATAATATAGTTCACAATGAAGTTTGAAATGACATAATATATATATTTATGATTTTAAAATTATGCATGCCTGAGGTTCAAATCCCATATCAAACATACGATCAGCTTCATCCAATACAAGGTAAGTAACTCTTTTTAAATTAGTAACGCGACCGGAATTCGCACATAATAAGTCGATCATACGTCCGGGAGTACAAACTATTATTTCAGCACCACGTTTTAATTCAGCAATTTGATCTTTAATAGGTGATCCGCCATAAGCACAAACAGCCTTTAATAAGAAAACGAATAATAAATAAGATTTGAGTATTTAAATAAATATTAACTGAACATAAATAATATATATACCCTAAGGTTTAGCCCTTTTAAAAAGTGTTTACATTCTTTATGTATCTGAACTGCAAGCTCTCTTGTAGGTGTCATAATAATAGCAATAGGTCCTTCCATTTGATCAAGAGAGCGCTGATCTTTAATATGACGAAACATTGGAAGAAGAAATGCTATAGTTTTACCACTTCCAGTCTTTGCAACACCGATAACATCACGACCAGCCATGATAGCAGGTATTGCTTGTGATTGAATGGGTGTGGGTTTTTCGAAATTTAATTTTTTAATTATGTGCAGACTATTCAATTAAAATCAAAAAAAGAATTACGATTAGCAAATTAAATTTAAAGGTCAATTATGTTGAAGCAAAATTAATAATAATGACGACCATGCAGCCGGTAAACCTGCGTGTGTCCATTTTTGTATAGGTTTTGGACAATCAATACCCTAATTAAACAAAAAAAAGTCAAAATTAATTGAAAAATAAATTAAAATTATATCATAACTTAACACTTACTCTAATTTTAATTCCTCCCAATTCCACTCTAAGAAGGTCTACCTGGTCATGCGTCAATTCGTGCATTTCTGGAGGCTCAATATAAAAATCCTTTCTGAAAGGCTCATATTTAACTTGTGAATGATCAACCGCCGCCAAATCTTTTTTTTTAAGCTTCTTAGCTGCTAAACTACTCGATAAAATAAAAAATCATTAGTTTATAATAAACATTATTAAATAAAATTTGGAATTAAATATAAATTTACGCTAAAATATCTTCAGGATCACTGCCAACTTCTTCTTCATCCACGTCCTCTTCATCTTGCATAATTTTATCAGATCTTTCAATTTTGTTTTTCCCTTTTGCTGCTTGTTTTGCACGCTTTTTGTCTTGTTCATTTAATTGTTCTACCTCAACCTCCACATCTTTCATAAAAGCGTCAAGAGGATCTTCGTCTCCGTCGTCAACTTGCATCTGATCTGAATCTTTAATATATGAGCCTTTATAAGATATAGATTTATCTTCTTCATCGGCAACTACTTCTTTTGATTTACCCTTATTATTCATTATATGTTTTTTATTACCAAGTCCAAGTAATGGATTTCGTCTAACTTGATATACTTGAGGCTCTATTTTATCAGTGGATTTTGGAATAGGTAGTATGTTGACAGTTTCTAAATAAAATAAAATAAAAAGTTAAATTTATGTTTAATAAAAAAAGAAAAATTAAAAATAAATAAATTACCTGGTGCACCATCTACCTCCATAGATTCATCTTCATCGTCGTCATCTAAAGTCCAGCCTTTATTTGAATTTTGTAGAGATTGATCTTCGGCGGTAGAAGATTGATTTGCAGCCGAAACTGCTTGTAACTTTGCTTCTTCCTCAGCTTTTTTAGCAGCCTCCCTTTCCTTTCTCCACTGTTCTACACGTTCTCTTCTTTGACGAATTTTTTCTTCCTGGCTATCGAGTAAAGCCGCAACTGTTGCAGAGGTTGTCGAATCAGCTAACTATATTATAATTAAAATCTCTTCGATAAAATATCATTGATAATAAAATTAAATATATATTAACAAAGATGCATATTTACCTTTGAATCAGCTTGCATTTGTACATCAGAATCTCGGTTAGCACTTTCCTGTTTGTTAATGTCCTTATGTTTGTCCTTATGTTTGTCTTTTACTTCTCCGGAAATATTATTCAACACGATACCTGATGACTTAGTACTTTTTTGATCCTGCGAGAAATAAATTCCAGAATCCGTTGTAAAACTGTGTTTAGTTTTTTTATCTTCTGTTTCTTTTGTGGAATGAGACCTTACGTGGGACTCATCCCGATCAACTTCACTCCTTGAATGGCGAGATCGTTTATGTTCTCGATCATCTCTGTGACGTTCCTTTTCACGTTCACGATCTCGGTCACGATCACGATCCCGATCCCGATCTCGTCCACTACGTCTGTGAGAATGTTTTCGTTTCTTTTGTGGAGAACGTGAACGACTTCTAGACCTGGAATGCCTTACCATTTTTTTTTTTTTTTAAAAAAAAATGGTGATTCGATTTTATTTTTATGACAATCAAATAGATCTAGTTAATCTTTAAAAAGTATACGTATGACTAAAAAATTTTTTTTAAATTATTCAAAATCGTATTATTTAAGTTAAAGTAATTCCGAATAAATGATGTAACGAATTGCTAAGAAAAGTATATTAAGATCACGTGGTTTGGATTTTTCGATTGTTGATAATCATTAAAAAACAATTTTTTCATTTTTGTTACTTTGAAAGAGTTGAGAAATAGACCCTTGACCTTTACCTTCTAATTATTAGTAAAAAAATACTAAACTTAATAAAGAAATAACTTTTATTTCATATGCAAGACACAAGTACAAGAATCTCTTAATGGAATTACACTTACTTAATGTAAAATCACTTTTACAACTATTTGTAAAATAAACTTCAATTCACAATTTTCATCAATTATAAATCCTAGTTAGCAAGATCATTATCAATTTGAATTTATGAATTAGGTCTTATTTCTTATTATAACTAATAATTAATATCATTATTTCACAACTACAAATTACTCTCCTATTATATATGAAGATCAAATGCTTATATCAGATAGTTATACTTCTAATTCTTATTCAATGATACAATTATTACTATTACTATTACCTCTACCTCTTCTTCCCTTATTTTTTTTATCATACAAATAGTTACATTTATGTATAAGTTTTAACCATAAAATAGAAGAAAAATCTTAAAAAATACAATAGTATCTTTAACACAAACTCATCTCAAATATTAGAAGTAGTATTAACTTTAAGAAACTTGACTTGTAAATTATACTGAAATAAGCAAATCACAAAATAGTTGCAAAAATTATAGTTCTTATAGTAATTAATTTGTATATAAAATCTTTGTAATAAGAAGAAGGAAAACTGTTAGAAAAATTAATTTACTTTTATATGCCAAATATGATTTTTAGGTTAAAATATGTTCAAATTTAATATTAACTTATTTTTATATTTTTCACATGTTTTTCTCTTTTTATTATAAAGATTCCATATGATCTTATCAAATATATTTTTATACTCAATAATATAAAATTCTTGATTCTCTTATAATATAGGTTTTCAATAACAAAATTAAACTTTATCAAAATATTTTTACTAATAAAGAAAAACAATTAGTAAGTTTGTTCAGAATTTATTTATTTATCCATTATTATCTAATAATATTGATTAACTATATATTATATAAATATTAATAAAAATAAAAAAAACAATAATAGAAAATGTAAAAAACTATTAAAGTTAATTCATTACTTAAAATATTAAAAGAAAACTAATTGACTAGATCTAAAAATTAAAGTATATCCAAATTTCTCACAGAAAATTTTGTTAAAATAATTAGAGTTCTAGACAAGTCGAGTTAACTTACGAGTCAGATAAACTGAGTCAAGTTCAAATCAAGTCAAGTTTATGTTTTTTTGACTTAATGATTTATGAGTCAAGCTAAATTCAAGTTGAGTTAAATATTTAACTCAAATCGATTTAAACTCAACTTGATTCGAATTGACTCAAGTTAACTTGAATAATAAAAAAATCATTCTAAGAAGAACAATAAGAAGAACAATAAGAAATTGTTTGACTTGAACAATAAAAAAATCGTTCAAAAAGAACAATAAGAAATCGTTTAACTTAAACGATAAAAAAATCATTCAAGAAGAACAATAAGAAATCGTTCAACTTGAATGATAAAAAAATCGTTCAAGAAGAATGATAAGGAATCATTCAACTTGAATAATAAAAAAATCGTTCAAGAAGAATGATAAGAAATCGTTTGACTTGAACAATAAAAAAATCATTCAAGAAGAACAATAAGAAATTGTTTAATTT